ATGATGTTAACATTGTTCTCAAATAGTTATTGGCCAAAGATTAATTTGATGAATCTGATTTTCCTGAAATAGATGATTCTAATAATTCAGATGATTCTGATGTTAGCTGTGTTTAGAAATAACTCCAAGAACAGTTTTTATATTTTATTTTCACATTGAAAATCAGTCAGATTTGCTTCAGCCTCAAAGAGTGTGTGTTTAATATTAAATGAGCATTGGCAGTAAGCTGCACTTTTTTTTTTTTTTCCCTAAGTGGTAAAAAAGTTAAGGATGCTGAATATAGGCCCCCAATCTCTTCTGGATTATAAGGTTTCTGCTGAAAGGTCAACTGTTAATGTCATTCTCTTTTTATGTGACCTGTGCATTCTCTCTGGCTGCTTTTAAGATTTTTTTCTTTCATGTTGACTTTTGAGAATCTGCTGACTGTGTGTCTGGGGATGGTCATCTTGTATAGTATCCTGCAAGGGTTCTCAATTTTCTGAATTTGCATGTTGACTTCTCTAGCAAGCTTAGGAAAATTTTTGTGGACAATATCCTCAATTAAGTTTTCCAAATGTCTTTCTCTCTCTCCATCTCTTTTAGGAATGCCAGTGACTTGTAGGTTTGCTTTCTTTAAATAATACCATATTTCTTGGAAGTTTTGTTCATTTAAAAAATTCTCACCGGGTGTGGTGGCTCATGTCTGTAATCCTAGCACTTTGGGAGGCCGAGGCAGGTGGATCATGAGGTCAGGAGATCGAGACCATCCTGGCTAACATGGTGAAACCCCGTCTCTACAAAAATACCAAAAATTAGCCTGGTGTGGTGGCAGGCACCTGTAGTCCCAGCTACTCGGGAGGCTGAGGCAGGAGAATGGTGTGAACCCAGGAGGCGGAGCTTGCAGTGAGCCAATATCATGCCACTTCACTCCAGCCTGGGCGACAGAGCGAGACTATGTCTCAAAAAAAAAAAATTCTCGTATCTTTATTTTTTCTGCCTGCATTGATTAGAAGGAACTGTCTTTGAGCTCTGGTATTCTTTAATCAGCTTGGTCTATTGTGTTATTAATGCTACCAATTGCATTCTGAAATTCCTGTAGTAAATTTTTCATTTCCAGAAGTTCAGTTTGGTTCTTTCTTAAAATGGCTATGTCATTTTTAAACTCTTGGACCATTTTACTGTTTTCCTTGGATTGGGTTTTAACCTTATCCTGTGTGTTGATGAGCTTCCTTGCCATCCAGATTCTGAATTTTATGTCATTTCAGCCATTTCAGTCTGGTTAAGAAGCATTGATGGGGAGTTAGTGCCGTAGTTTGGAGGTAAGAAGACACTTTGACTTTTAAAGTTGCACTGATTCTTTCTCTTTTGTGTGGGCTGCTGTTCCTTTAATCTTGGAAGTTGCTGTCTTTTGTATGAGCCTTTTTGCTTTTATATTCCTTGAGGTCCTTGGGGGTTTGACTGCAGTGTAAGCTGGGCTTAGTCAATTGACTTCATTTCTGGATGGTTTCAGGAGGCCAAGACTCAACTCAGCACTGCTAGGCTACATGCTGTAAACTCAGGAGGCTGGTACCAAACCCACAGCTTTATTCTCTGGCCTTTTGAGGTTTAAGCACCTGATATGCTGGAGAGGTCCGAGTGTTCCAAGTCTGCTAGCAATAACACTCTGATGGCGCTGCTGGGAAAAGCACTCCGGTGGTGCAGTGGCGGGCTCCCGTGCACATCTGTGCTGGCAAGGTGGTGGCAGGTCTGCACACACATGTATGCTGGCAGGGCAGGGGAGGAGGTTGCAGGTGATTGCACACTGGTTGGGGAAGGCTGTGGGTCGGTGTCTGCTGGTGGATGTCCATTTGCAGAAGCACTCCAGTGATTAGGTGGGGTATGCTGGTGAAAGAGCTATGGCACTGGTTGTGCTGCAAGTGGCTTCAGCCAGGCAGGAATCCTGGAAGAGGCCAGAAGACAGGGGGTTTTCAGATCAGATTGTTTCACGTGGGCAAGACAGCCTTGCTCTGTCCAGTTCTGGCAGCTATTAATAACAAAGCCTAAAGTCACCTAGAGGAGTATGGCGAGTCTTGGGGGATTGACGCCCATGGCCATGCTCCACTGCAGCCAGTCCCAGGCCAAACCCTCTGGGCTCCACACAGGCTGGAGTTCTGTCTCTGCTAACTTGCTAGACAGTTCTCGCTGCCAGCTCAAATGTGCTTGGGAATTGTGAGGTCTCCCATAGCTAGGCTCATGGAGGTCCATGGTGAAAGTGGGCCACTACACACCCATTTCACTCACCCCTTTCCTAGGAGCTTCTCAGGGCCAGGAACAAGTCCTGGTGCTTGGCAACCAACCACAGCGTTCCCAGCCTCCTCCCCTATCATCCTAGGATTTGCATCTGTTGTATGTCTTCTTTCTAAAATGCCTTATTTTCTAAAAATCTGTTCAGAATATCCTGGTCTACTTGATAGTCTGGTCTCTCTTGGTGGTCGAAGCTCTTCCTGGTTGCATCTAGTTGGCCATCTTGGCTCTAATTACTTTTTTTTTTTCCGTAAAGCTAGACTAGGACTGGATCACAAACATTGGAGAAAATGCATAACAGCATTGAAGTCGAAAATGAGTGAGGAGAAAGATAAACTGTTCTTATATTTTTACTATACAAATGAAATCTGTTGGCATACCATAATTAGCTAAAGGTTAACTATAAATTGTTTTAGAATAGTGACTTAAAGGATAGTTTCTGCTCAGAGATGTTTGGGTTTACTTTTACTTTCCATATTTACAACTTTCTAGCAAGGTAAATTTCTTCACTTTCATGTCTCGGTTTCATTATTTGTAAAATAAATTTCTATAGTAATAGTGTTTATTTTATAGGCTTCTTTTTAGGATTATATAAACTAATACATATAAAATGTGAATCAAATAGCTTGGTATTATTTTTTCATGTTTTGATTTGGAATTGATAATTATGTTTTTTCACTTCTATTCATTTTTTCATAACTTAAATAGTAATGGACATATATTTTCACGTTACTATGCAAATGAATTTTAAGTAAATCTTTATATTTTCTTAGCATAGTTCTCAGTTTCTGTCCACTCTAAGCACAGTATGAAGCCATATCATCTTATTTTTTTTTCTAGTTAGGAGATTGGTGAAATGAGTACAATAAATTTTTCCTATCATAGATTTTAAGATGCATTATACAAAGTGGAGGAAAAAATTCACATTGTTGATATGCTGTAGTGTTGGCATGTTGAAGCAACAGAACTTAATTAAGAATTCTAAAGTATAATCTTCAAATTGTCCTGGGAAAATGTCATTATTAGAAACTGTTCATCAAAGTCTTGACAAAGAAAGTCAGTTTTAGGAAAAAGTTATAATTTTCCTCTGTTATATAGTAAAGAGTTTCCATTATTTCAAACTTCCAGTATTTCATTAAGGGTAATGCCAACTTTCAAGGAGAATTTCAAGTCGTAATAATCTAAACATGGTACAAAGATTAATCAATGTTAGAAATTGTAGAAATTTTCAAAGATGCATGTAGGTTCTTTATTCATGTTTTAGTAGACTAAAGAATAAGAGGAATCATTTACGTCAGTGCTGACATTCGATTTAATCATGCTTTATGAAATAATTAGAAAGCAAACGTTTCCCTTTGCAATTAAATATATTAAAAACAACCATGTAAAGAAAGACAAGAATTGCATGCTGTAATTTGTGAACTATCATACCTCAGAAGTGACAGAAATATCCTATATTATTTATCTTTAAAATTTTGAAATTTATTTTTATATTTTAAATTTATTTTAAAATTTTCATTACATTTTGAATGCAGAAAAATATGTCCGCTTATTATTTCTGTGCAAATTATACAGAAAACTACAATGATCTTTTAGCTATATCTGAGTATTTATCTTCATTTTCCTAAATAATACGCTTTTATTCTTACTTCTTGATTTTCTGTGTATAAATATTATTGATTGACATTCCAGAAAGAAAAATGAAAATTCCGTTCTCTTTTTTCCTCCATTCTCACATATTCAGACTTCCTCTTGTAACTTAGTGCGATCTTCAATCTTCACTATTTACATTAGTATAACCGTGTAAACACTATCTATAACTGAGCTGCATCATATATTGTGATTGTTTTTCGCAAAATATTTTTTCTGATACTAATAATTGCCTTATGTTATAGTTACCTAGTTTTATACATACTTATCACTAACTCAACTTCTCTCCCTAATTAATTATCTCAGTTTTCCCTAATGCATTCAGGTATTTCATTTTTTTCTGAAGAAATCTCTCTGAATCGGACTGGTTATTTTCCCTGCATGGTGCATATGGGTCATTCTGGCATATGTTTGTCTCTGAGTTTTATGTTTCCTGTATTCTACTTCCTCCTCTATTCTGGTTTACACCCTTCATTTTGATATAACACATTTTTCAGTAACCAAATGAGAAAGAGATGCTAGGAGATACAATTTTGAGTTTTTGCATATTTGAAAAAGTCTTTTAATTGATAACTTGGCTAAGTGTAGAATTATAGGTTGGGTATTGTGTTCCTTCAAAAGTTTGGTGGTATTGCTCCATTGCCTACAGGCTTCTTATTTTGCTGTTAGAAAGTCAGAAATAGTCTCATTTCTGATCCTTTGTACATGACCTGGTTTTTCTTCCTCTCTGGAAGCTCACAGTATCTTCATTTTGTCTCCATGCTGTTAAATTCTATGGTAAAGTTCCCTTGGTGAGGGCCTGATTTAATCTATTGTGCTGCATAGTTGGCAGGTCTTTCCAATCTGGAAATCCATCTGGAAAGTTTTGCTGAATTTTATTTTTTGATGATTTCTTCTCCTTCATTATCACCCTTCATGTTCTGGGACTCTATAACTGTTTATTCATGTTGGAACTGTTGGCTTCATCCTCACTTTTCTTATCCTCTGATTTTTCATTTCTTTGTCTTTTTGCTTTACATTAAGTATTGTTTTCTCAATTTAGTCTTCCAATATTTAATCTAGTTTTTCATTTCTTTTTCATCCCCTAGAGATGAACCATGCAATCTCCTGCCTGGAGTATTGAAGCCTGGCTACTGTGACTGTGGGGAAGGGATTAATGATCTCAGCATTCAGTAAGTGAATGTTCCCTCAACTCTCCTACTTCCTATATGTTACCTACACCTGCCACTGTGCCCAGTGCTCTTTTCACAGCCTTACAAGTTCTATCTGCATGCTTCTCTATGCTTTGTGTTTAGAAGCGTAGAGAAGCTGCTCTCCTGCTTTGTGTTTCAGGAGTCTGACCTCTACTGACATTGTCAATTCAGGGTTTGGTTTGGCCAAACCTGGAAGGGAAGGGAAGTGGCTATATTCCTGTGTCCAAGGGCACGGGGTGTCTTTTTCCTATAACCACAGGTCTTTCTGGATTCTAGATAATGGATCTCTCCATTATCTTTCAGCCCTACTACTAGTAGCCACCTACTGCTCTTGCTAGCCCCAGATCCTTCACCAATCTCACGGGTGTTAGTTTCCCTTTGTCAATTAAACAAAACACAAGTACTTAAAGTGATGCATAAAGTGAAAGTACAGAGATATTCTGCTTTAAAATAATGAGATAAGAACTTGAAACATTTGTTAACAGATATTTGGGGAATGATTGTTTACAAAGAATGATTTATTTCTTTATATAGAATCCATCACAAAAAGTAATTTATGTTAAGTGCACTTAAAATATAATTTTCCTCATGAAATTTACTTCATCCACAACTTTATACAGCATATCAACTGATTAAGGTAGGGAAGGGAACTGAGAAAGAAAGAGGATTAGTGAGAAGGGGATAATGAGAGGGAAGACTTTCAAACTGAGTGTGAGAGACTTCCGGTTTTCAGTACTGCCATGGCAGAATGTATGCTGTCTAGGAAGTATAGTTCTTCTATCATTTAGTTTAAAATTTCAACTCTTGAATGCTCAGCCAAAATAAGTAATGTTAGTGGCATGGAGAATGGACTGATGAGGAAGCAGTTTTATAACTCTAGGGCATGGCTAAACTCTAATATGGCAAGCGCTGGAAAAGACAACTTCTTTTACTTTTAAGGTGCTTCAATTTGTCATTACTGATTAAGGGCTGTCTGGATTGGCTCTCCTGGCCAGTTAAATTATCCCAAGAGCTATCTCATTATTAGGAAATGCTCACATGAGATGAGAATCCCTTTTATTCCCATGGTGAGCCGTAGAAAACGGACTTTTTGAAGAAAAAAAATGTAGCTTAAATATAATTTACCTCATCTGTTAAGGACATTATCATTTCTTAATCATTACATAAGCCACATTTTGCATAGTGGTTAAATTCGGACTAACTAAAAGCTTCAGTGTTTCAAGGCTGTTTATTAAAGCTGTTATTCTGTTAAGTAAAAGGTGTGAAGTGGAAAATTTTCATAACCACTGACATAGGGGAAATACAGTGGTAGATGACTTTAAAAAATTTCACCGATAGTGAATTTGTAAAAATCGCCATGTCTATGATAACTTTGTTACTCAATATGTGGTTTGCAGATCAGCAGCTGGGCATCACCTGGAAAATTGTTGGAAATGTTAAAAAGTCAGAAATTGTCTTATTTCTGAACCTTTGTACATGACCTGGATCCACTGGTTTTTTTTTTTTTTTTGAGACTGAGTCTCGCTCTGTCGCCCAGGCTGGAGTGCAGTGGCCGGATCTCAGCTCACTGCAAGCTCCGCCTCCCGGGTTTACGCCATTCTCCTGCCTCAGCCTCCTGAGTAGCTGGGACTACAGGCGCGTACCACCACACCCGGTTAGTTATTTGTATTTTTTTTAGTAGAGATGGGGTTTCACCGTGTTAGCCAGGATGGTCTCGATCCCCTAACCTCGTGATCCACCCGTCTCGGCCTCCCAAAGTGCTGGGATTACAGGCTTGAGCCACCGCGCCCGGCCCACCTGGATCCACTGAATCATACCCACTGAATCAGAATCTGCATTTCCACAAGACTCTCAGGGGTACATGTCAACATTTGTGATGCATGACTGAAGCGCAGTAGAGTAGTCACTGAAGCCCTGATCTGTTACCTAACCCAGGAGAATCATGTTTTCCAATGGTAGCAGTGCCTTAAAAAGTGTATGCAATAGCACAGAATTTTCATTGGCATTTAATCCAAGGGTTACTTGGGCTAATTTTAAACTTAAATATCGAGGAAGATTACCAAGAAGGGATTATATGATATCAAGATAGGTGATGTTATTATTTGAAAGTGTTATTATTTAAAATTCTCATAGGAACAGTTTTCCAAATGAGAAAATTTCCTCCCTCTCTGATCTTCCTTCTCACAAACACATCTATATTCTATATGTAATGCTGGATTTTTCTCTAAGTACAACTTAAGCTCTCTCTTTCTCCAGAAGGCACAGGACATTCAAGAGCTGAGAGATTCAAATAAACTGCTGCTTCTCTCACGTATCTCTAATGTGAAGTGTTTGGAATAATTAGCCTAATTTATATTGCACTTACAAACAACTGATAACACCTTTTAAACATGCTATAGAAAAGTAAACTGGAGATTTTTGGAAAGAATGGTTTTTCTTTATTTTGCTTCTCCTTTATTTGAAATTCCCGCATACCTAAAATATGCTAGAGCAATGTAGCGATTTAAGGGCTAATTTCCCCTATAGTGTGGATCTCCTTCTACTCCCTCCTTTATTTTTACTTATTTATTTATTTTGAGATGGAGTTTCACTCTTGTTGCCCAGGCTGGAGTGCAATGGCACGATCTCGGCTCACTGCAACCTCCGCCTCTGGGGTTCAAGCCATTCTCCTGCCTCAGCCTCCCGAGTAGCAGGGATTACAGGCATGTGCCACCATGCCCGGCTAATTTTTTGTATTTTTAGTAGAGACAGGGTTTCTCCATGTTAGCTAGGATGGTCTTGAACTCCCAGTCTCAGGTGATCCGCCCACCTCAGCCTCCCAGTGTGCTGGGATTACAGGCATGAGCTAATGCACCCAGCTCTCCCTCCTTTATTTTAATAAACATGTATTGGCTATCTACTGTGTGCCATGGATGAGAATACAAAGACTACATCTCTACCCTAGAGTTGCTCACAATCTCTTGTAGAAGGTCAAATACACCATTGTAATGCCATTTTATAAATGCTATCACAGGGTTGGCAACATAGGATGGAAAATAGAAGAAGATGGGGCTAATTCAGTCTTGAGAATCAATGACTGATTCATAAAAGAGGTGACTGCTTTTGGCATCTTGTTAGCATATGATTTATGATACAGATATACACAAATGTTGGCTTGTGCTTTCAGAGAAGGTGGTTGAATGAATCTTTAAGTAGAGCCAAGCTGATATTGGCAGGTTCGGTCAGACTTGTTCTGTCCAAAATGTAACTTGATAGATAGGATTAGAATAAAATAACCTCTGCTAATATGATAAAACGAAAGTGAATGGTCTTTTGAATGAATCTGAATGATTAGCTTTATATTATTCACCCCTCACCCTGAACAGTAGTAATATTTGCTGCAGTGGAGACAGGGGGGCATTAGTAGGATAATCATAATGATAACAGCTGATACGTGCATTTTACGTAGTGCTTTCATACTCATTCCCGTATTTAATTTTCACAACCACCCCGTGAGGTAGGTGTTATTTGCATTTCCTAGTTGAACAAACAGTCAAAGTAGGCGGCAGAGCCTAAAAACGAAACCACGTCTTTAAATCTCTAAGACCAATATTCTTTCTACTTGAACCAGAACCACAACTTTCAAAAGTCTCCCTTCATTCCAGAGATTATAAAGAACCTTCTCCCCTGACCTGAGGGTGCTTCATTGGCAAGGGTTGCTGAATGTCTAGGGGTAAAAAGTGGGCCTTTTCTCTAAAACAGAAGCTGTTATTTCCCCTGCCAAGCCAGTCCTCCTTCTCTGTTGGTTCCATGGTGATCAGCACAATATGGTGATTTGAAGTTGGGGATAAAGGCAGAGTGGAATTGAAAATTCCACTCTTTTAACTCTCCTGGAGCTAAAAGTCTTGCATTATGATTGACATTGTCCATCTCAGTTTGAGGAAGACCTGACCACTGCCTGGAATATAAATGCAGTAGGGGGGATCGGTAAGAGTCAGAGAAGATGACCACTTTGCAGCAGCTAAAATTCTAGTCAATGTTAGGGGACTGAAAGGCAAATCATAAAACCAAGGCAGAGGCCCGGTCAAGTGGCCTGATCTAACATGGCAAGGGCAGGGACAGCACTTCAGTTCAATGACATGTAGGAATCCTATTTTTAGGCAGGAGCTAAGAATGCACAGTATGTCTTCAAAATGGAGAATTCCTTCAAGATATGCCAGGCTTATGATAAAAAGACTTATTTTTAATGTTTTTAATTTTAGGTAAGAGTCTTTGAAAACTGCTGGCATTATTTAGGACTGGCTTGAGCATTAGTAATTCTCTTTTTTTTTTTTTTTGAGGCGGAGTCTCACTCTCTTGCCCAGGCTGGAGTGCAGTGGCCGGATCTCAGCTCACTGCAAGCTCCGTCTCCCGGGTTCACGCCATTCTCCTGCCTCAGCCTCCCGAGCAACTGGGACTACAGGCGCCCACCACCTCGCCCGGCTAGTTTTTTGTATTTTTTAGTAGAGACGGGGTTTCACCGTGTTCGCCAGGATGGTCTCGATCTCCTGACCTCGTGATCCGCCCGTCTCGGCCTCCCAAAGTGCTGGGATTACAGGCTTGAGCCACCACGCCTGGCCAGTAATTCTCAAATCTATAGGTTTGAGCAAAGCTAGGAAAAGTGTAGCGATTAATGGATTATCACACACATTAATTTATAATTTTATGTATAAATAATTTATTATTTATATCATATATTGACTCACTAGAAGTACGATCCATTGGCAAAGATCAAATTCATCAGATTTAATATAAAATTCTATGATGGTATTTGTGGTAGACAGAATAATATCCCCTAAAAGATGCCCATGTTCTACTCTCTGGCGCTTGTGAATATGTTACCTTACATGACAAAACAGACTTTTCAAATGTGACTAAAGTTATCTTGAGATGGGGAGATTATACTGAATTATCCAAGTAGGCCCAATTTAAGGACCCAATCACATGGGTCCTTAAAATTG